CAATCCTCAGATCAAGTGTGGTCTGCCCTCCACATCCTGATTGCTCTCCCACTTGTTTGCTTGCTCTTATCTGCTTACCTTGAGTGGTCCTGGCTCTCACCGTTGTGTCGCCTTGACACACTACTGTTCCTTCATCTCTCACTTTCAATTGTAGCAGGTATCCTGAGGCTCACGTGCACAGTATTGGTATAGACCAACAGCTTGCTAATTTGAGATCTATTGATTTCCTGATGCTCACTACTATATGATTTATATTACAGCTGTGACTAGTACAACACATCCATTTCAGCAATTGGGACAGGCTGGTTTTGAGCCTGGATTGTATATTTCCTGAGCATCCTAAGCATCCTGAGCACCCCGAGTATAGCTATTGGGCCCAGCAACCGAATCAGTTCTCAATCCCGGTGGGTTTGGATCCTGTTTATAGCCTACATATATGTTTATGAGTGTGTATAGACCAAGTAGAGATACTGGACCTATTTCAATACATCCTGCCCTGCTAGAGAGTATTAATTTCAATTGCCCAAAATCAGCATTTTTGGGGCTTGGAGTGCCTACAGCCCCGAGGTCTCCGAGCATAAGAGCCAACCCGAGAGCCCAGCATCAATTTCTCAATCTAGCCATCTAATGCTATTGTTTGGCTGATATATAGCTTCCTAGTACCACCAAGCATATATAGAGCCTATCAAGCTCATCCAAATACAGATCACCCATCAGAAAGACACTTTCCCAGGCTCACAAAAGTGGCCAAATTTGAGGTCGGGAATCTTTGGGGCTCGGAGCTCTCGGGGTGATGCTCGGGGGTGTCCAAAAAAGGACGCTATTAGCTTGTACTGTACACTATAATAGTATACTAGTGTACTGTACAGCTATTATACTGAATACGTACAATACCTACACAAGAGCCCTGAGCGCCCCGAGTACGGCACCGGGCTACCCCAGCAATATTTTACACTCAAATGGGGCCCCCGATCACCAAGTCCGCACGGATCCTCTTCCACAGTGTCAGTGTGCTTGTGCACAATCCTCTTCCACAGTCTCAGTGTGGAGGGTCAGCATCTATATATGGTCATGCTCGGAACTGACTGACGTGTGTGCTCCAGATTGACGCGCTCGAGCAGGGACAATGTGAACGACATGAGAACAGAGCTCTCGAAGAGGCAAGAGCCACTCCCAGAAGCAGAGGTTGAGATGTCCGGGTTGACCGGTTGTACTAATGCCCCAGGTACACGCTTGGAAAGCGTCAGAAACCCTGACGACATCCAGTCGTGAGTTCCGCTTGAGTTGCCATCAATGGAATTGGGTATAAGGCATAGACCCTGGTAACCAATCTGTACCACTTTCTCGCCAAGAAGCGAGACCGGGAGGCTCTCTGCCAGTGACGAGTTATAAAGGATGAGATTCACTTCAGCAAGTAGCAGGAAGAAGTGCTCATTGCAAGATACAAGGGTAACAATGGGCTGTTGCACAGAAAGACGGGGACCAGTATAGCACATCTCATCAAGTAGCTCATCGGCAAAAGCAGTGGCTTTGAAACCAAAGCGTGTTTCACCGTTGATTTGCCGGAGGCGATCAACCAAACTTGGCGATGTCATGTACTTGAAGGTTTCAGACAGTAGGCGCGCTGTGTTGATCTCACGACTGTCGTGTGTTACGGTCCGTGTAAACACCATGTTTGCCGTGCCCTCAGCCTCAGCACGTAGGTGTTCAGAGTCGGCAGCCGCATCCTCGAGAGCCTGCATACCCGCCAAACCAGAGTCCGAGCTATTCAGAGGCTCAGCGGCAGCATCATCCGTCTCGGTATCATCATCACCATCCCCTTCAGTAGCAGTAGGCAGGCGAACAAGTAGTTCACCGAAGGGTGCCATCAAGGATCCATGGGGCTGTGATGTGATTGTCGAGAAGATCTTGGCAGTGAAGGGATACTTTTCTTCGATGAGACAGTGTCCTTTCACCCATGGCGTACTGAGATTGACATTGCGTGGGAGCAGTCAGTCAGGGTAAAAAGAGCTGGGTCCAATGTGATCGGCATTATCAGGTAGGGTCCGTGCTTCGCAGTCGACATGAGGAAGGTGAAGGCGGCGTGGGCCTTTACCCCATTCGGGATGCATGGCAAGAATGGTGGCAACTTCAGTGGTGTTGGTAACACAAAGACCAAGCTGAAGCACGTCAAGGTTAGCATCATTGCCAACCATAGTACACAGTATGCCAAAGAGGGATTCCAAGCTGTCGGTACCGAGTAGTATGATGAAGAATGGCTCATTTGGAAGGTCTGCCTTTGCCTTGGCGACACAAAAGTAGACATTCTTTACCATGAGAATGATGTTGACGATCAGCACTATGCCCAGGAAGTCCGTCCGAACCTTCTGATCAGCAAATAGAGCAACAGCCAGATGCACGCCGGCACTGAGGTGTTCTAATTGCTCATCCAGAGAAAGATTGGTGCAGATGTATGGGAATATGAGATGGTAGCACATTTCCCCATATGTGCAAATGGCTTCACGAGTTGCAATGTAAGAGGCAGGATGTGACAAGGGATTAGCTGCAGGTAAGGTCCACATGTCTTTGAGAAGACAGAAAGCCAGGAGAATGTCGTGTTTGTCGGAAGGGTTGAGAACGGAGTTGACATGCTCGGGCGACTTTCCGCTGTCCAAGAGATGGAGACATAGTTGAGACGATGTGATGCAGACACCGTGTACAAGGATAGACTTCAGGACGGACAAAAAAGGATTGCGACAGCGTTTGAAGACATGTTTGCCGTCCTTGTCTGCTGTCAAATCATCCTCTCTGACGTATAGATCCCTAAGCTCGAGCCCAGAGAGGTGTTCATAGATGGGGGAATTGGGACTGAGCTGGTAGCGATAGCATAGGTTGATGAGGACCTTGGCATGGCGAGACTCGCCATCAGAAGCAAGCGAGACAATGTGTATATGAGTTGCGGGCATTGTGCGGCAAAGAGCCGTCAACATGGTCTGCAGAATGGGCTTGTGCTCATTGGCCGATTTGTGCTTACAACTACCCGAAAGAAGGATAGGATGGGCACTGTTGAGTGCAGCGTCACCAGTCAAAATCCCCACAGCACTGACTGTGGCCTATTATGTGTTGTATCAACCTCCAAGCTTGATGATGGGAGAACGAGCAGACGTGCGCACCGCACATGGACAGCTACACGGACCACGCACGGCGACAACACAGGAGATGGCGGTGGGAAAGATCAACGCACCTCCTTCGTGAGATGAACCTTGCCAGCTCGCAGGTCTTCAAACAGCACCACCATGTCCTCCGCACTCGCATACTCCAGGCTCCGTGTTTTTGTGTGCTTGCAACAGAGCCCGAGAAACTTATTGAGCTTCTCCCACCAGCGCGGCCGCTTCTCCGTTGTGACCTCATCAACCATGGCCACGGTATGCAGTACGTTGTACTTTGATAGTAGCTCGAGGATGTTGCTAAAGGACTCTAGAATGTTCACCTCGATTTCTGTAGCAGTGGGAGTGGAGGGGGAGGGTGTGAGGGGAGGTATAGAACAATTGGCCTGGGAGGTCTTCGCGGCGGGGCTGCCGTAGATACGGTGCACAATGTCAGCAACCTGCTGGCCGCCAAGACATTGCAGGAGTATGCCAGCATGGCGATCAGCTTGATTGAAGCCCTTCGCACTGTACATGCCTTTAGCTGCATTCTGTATTTGTTCAATGGTTGTGTGTACGCCTTCGCGATGATTAATGCTCGCATGAAGAGCGCGGTCGACACATTTAATGTTATTTGATGCAATTTTATGAACAAGCTGCTTATGTGCATTGATGACAGTATCACGGCCAACTAGCTTGCGCGCCTGATTCATGCTCTGCAGCCGTAACCGGTTGTACGCCTTGAGCTTGCAGCAATACTTCTCCATTAAGATTGCAATTCCATGGTATGCAAGTTGACTATTATCGTGGACGCCAGTCGTGAAGCGTCGGACAATATTCAAGAGGGTATTGTCATCCTCAAGCTCGGAACACGCGGCACACGGCCCCTCCTTAAGGTTCTCGCCACCCAAACAGCCCGTCGCATAGACGAAGAACTCATTCTTCCTCGACGCATAGTCCCACGGCAATGAGAGCACAAGATGCAAAGCAAAGGGGTACAAAGTATGATGGATTTGACCGTCTGGGAAGTTGACCTTAATGCCAGGGCACTCAAACGTCTGGCAAAGCACTTGCTTCTCCTTGCTCTTGTGGAGAGGCGAGCCTATCAAAGCTATGGGGCCATGAGTGGTGTGCCAGTCTATCATGTAATGACTGACATACCCGGTTCACCAGCATCTTCCATGTCACTATACATGTCGATAACCTCCTTGGGGCCAGCATCCACACATTCTTTGGTCTGCCAATCATATGGTGGCGGTGTGCTGGGAAGGTCATCTTGATACGGAATTCTGGAAGCTGTGAGTCAGGTTTGATGTAGTTGTCATTGGATAGGATGCTTACAGGGTCTTCATAGCTCGATAGCACCGTCGGAGCAAATGGTCAACACCGTAACCATTCAGGTCGAAGCCGGCATGTACCTCGTGCGTATATGCAACGAGCGTGCCGACGCCCTCTGTCCCACAACACATGAGCGCCGCCATATCTTCGGTGCTCCAGCCATTCTCGAAGAGCTCCTCAAGCTTATTGCACAGCACATCCATCCGGTCTTTATTGTTGATGTTCCTCCTGCGCGGTGGCCGAGTTGCGAAGAATGTCAGCTCGTCAGCTTCTACAGCTTCTGGTATGGCATCCGGCAGAGCTCTAGCTGCAATCTCGATTGCATCAAGAACCTGGGAGATGATGGCGCAGGGCGTGATCTTCGAGGTGACTGGTCCGGGTGACAAAAGGGTTGTCGTGGGTGCAGCAGGTGTGCCGTGGCTCGTTGCCATTGTCAATAGAGTGGGGGTTTGAGGGACTGTGGAAGGCGGCGAGTGAGTCTGGATGGCATAGAGTATGATGGGTTCAGGTTGAGTGATGACGGGCGGGATGAGGGTTGCTTGGAGCTGGATGAACGAGAACAGGGTTGACTGTGACGATGCGGCCTGCTCAGCGGCCCGTACTTTCTTGTCCCTCTTTAGATTATCCTTGCAAGCCTTGCTCTTTCCAGGCTCGTGCCGCTGAACAAAGTTCTCTATGCCTCTGCGGCCCACCTTGACAGCTGTATGGCACTCGGGACACTTAACCTCGCCTCCTATGATGATGAGGTTGCCCTAGGGAATGTTAGTCCTACTACAGGTAGAGCCATTGAGATCGTTGCATGCCTGGGGTTGGTTAGACATGTTGTGGCATGCAATGCCTAGATGTAGACAAATAGATGGCAAGAAGCCGCTACGGGTGCGGTGACAAGCTTCTCAATGCGCGATTCACCCGATATGGCATTGCTTTGTGCCTTGAGGCTCACAGGAGCCCTCACAGGCTCTCGCCATTCTTTGATAGCCACTACGCCTCTCAGCCGACTTGCAGCCGACCCTCAGGGACATGTATAATGAATATATTTAATCATTTTCGACCTATTAAACTTTTCCTGGTCCGAGCTTGGAGGAGCAACTAACTAACTGTCCCACGGTCACGGAATTCCGGCCTGAGACCCCCTTAGAACGTCAAAGGGTGTCTGATGGGGCTCACCAAAGTGCTGCGTCTTCCCACATGATCAACCCATGTGAGCTCGCTTCTTCCCATCATGGGTGATTCTTCTCAGCTCATGTACGCACCTTGCACGGTCAGCCAGCAGTCAAAAGGGAGTTATTAGTGATGGAGAGGAGTATGAAGTCAGCCAGCGGGGTTTGGGATGGTTGGATTGCGCCATCAACAGCAAAGACGATTCGCAGTTGCAAGCTGAGCTGCGTGCTCGCCACGCTCGTCATGAGTGAACGTCCGAAGAGCAAATTTTTCACTCTTAACGATGCCTACGTACCCAGCTGCACTAACTTCAGGGGCATCTCTTCGTCGCAAGCCAAGTCGTCGGAGCCAACGTAAAATAATGGCTTAGCTACTGGCTTTTTGGTAGAAACATATCTTCATAACCATACAAGTCATCTTGGTATCTTGCAAGAATGGCAGTAGAATACAGGTTTCCTAGTCTACGGCTCGAGGATTCATGTATACTCTCCAGTCATATTGGCTACTATGCGCGAATGTACTTGTAGTGGTGCTCAGTCTGTTTTGTATATGGGTGTGATACACGCTACTGGGTAGACAGGGCAAGAATGAGCTAGAACGCGCAGATGTATGCGAGCTGTGGCACACTGCTGGCTTATTCCCTTGACCATGCTATCGGGACAGCATCATGATGTCGGTGACAGCCGAGGCCGACACATTGGCTGTGTCAATTAGAAATAGACCTGTGCCTGTTAATACTCTTGCATCGTGATTCTGATGCAATCGACCTGCATCTGGATGTCGATTGTCTACAATTCCGATGCCCAGCCCAATGCATCAGCATTTTCAGAATCAACCTTGAATCCCGATGTCACGTCTGGGCGTGTAACATGAAGTGACTTGCCCAACCATACCAGTACGATATGTGTTTTCTCTCTACATATTTAATGTATCCTAGTAAAGATACTAAGCATCTTCTAAACAAAGGAGCAGGCGCTTTGGGCAGAGACAAACACCAGAGTCATTCCGGCAACCTGATTGGCTGGCTGGCCTAAGACGCGCCACGCTGACGTCGCTTGCGCAGCGCACAGCATTCTCGAACGTTCCTTGCCTCTGCCGCCCACGTCGCTACTTTCTATGCTCCCGTAAGTAGTAGACACCTTCTGAATCCGAAAATTTGAATGTACCACATATGTAATGTATGTGGCTGAGTGCCAGAATGAGTACGTGTTTTACGTCAGAAAACAAACACCAGGGTCATTCTGGCAACATGATTGGCTGGCGACGTGACGGTCGTGTCCGCGAACATCCAGGAACATCCTTGAGCTACGCCACTCGGCGTGCGTGACTGCGAATGTTTGGTGACCCCGAGTGCTGCTGCAGGTGAGGGGATACATTTGTATACCGCATCATGTAAGTACTTACGAAGTGCTGCAGGTTTGCAGGAGCAGTCTTTCTCAGCACATGGAAATTGGACGAAGTCGAGTACAAACCTCGGTGTATTGGGCGCAACGCATTCTACTTAGTGCAAGGCGGGGTGTTGTATGGTCTGCAGCTGAGCGGTACTATACGGACACACCACTAGGGGCCAACCCATCTGGGTCGACATGTATCCATTCACAAAGCCGACCTGGTCGGCCAAGGCCAACCAGGTCGACCTCTATCGCCGAGGTCTCAGGAACGCGGTGATAAAAAAAGCAGCAAGTCGACTATGTCAGCCATGAAGTAGAAGCAAAAATCAATTATATTATTCGTACATAGCACACTCGGCGCGTACAGGAGGCTCGAACGGTAGATATACAACATTCGTATAAGCTGACACAACTATACAATAGTGACTATCAAAAACAAAACGAGAATGCACGCTGCAAGCACGAGAACCAACGCGAAGAGCCCCACGGAGCGGCATTCCCTCGCGGCCGCAAGGCCGCTTGCTAGCGTGAACAGGACAGAGCGGGCTCGGAGCTGTGGAAGCGGGCGGTAGCACATCGCGCAGTGGTGCATTCGCAGAATGGCGCGAAGCGCCGTCACTTGCGGCCAGAAGGCCACTCGCCCACGCCAACACGAAGCTGCCGCTAGTGAGCGGGATGGCACAGCAGGCGGACGCGCCTGCGTCCCCGAGCGCGAAGAACGTAAAGACCTGAGGCGGAATAAGTACTAGTTCGTGATACCCGTTGGCCTGGAAACGCACCTAGGACAGCGGCGACGAGACCCAGATCCACGCCCGTTTGCGCTGGGCAACACGACGAGCGGGCACACAGCAAAGATAGGCGTGGTGACGTCGCGAGCGAGCCGGCGAAACACTACAGAACAGCCTCGTTAGCTTCCATTCATAATGCGCACGATTCTTGACGTACCCTGGCGACAATGCAGCGCAAGCACTCTATGAAGGCTGAAGAGATGCTCGTGAGCGACGCTTCGTACCGATATGAGGACACAACATACCTAACGACGGGGCGCGGATCGCGGGACTGATGCCAGCGCGTCAGCGCCAGGCCGCCCAAAACGTACAATGACGACGGAGACTGCTACATATTGTCGTTAAAGCCAGACGACGACGGCGACGATGACAAGACAAGCGAGAGGAGCGCTGGGCGAGGACACGAAGACGCGCGGGAGAGGAGCGGGGATGATGGGGGGAAGAAAGAAAGGTTGAACGACTTCTCGCGGCTGACGCGTCGGATCGGGGAGGCTCAGGATCAGCCTGCCAATCGGCGTTTGCCGGGCATTCGGAACGCGCGTCGCGCGACTTGTTGTTTTTTGTCCCACTTGTTCTTCCCTGTCATCACCGTCGTCTCCTTCGCTGCCTTTCTCCTCGTTGTGCGCGCCTGCGCCTGACGTGGTGTCTTGCCCCGCCAGCGTACACCGCCCTGCTGGACTTTCCTTGCTCGTGCCTCGGCAGCCGTAGCAGTTCATGGGTTGCAACTCATGGGCAACTATGCCCAATGGGGTTGCGACCCCCCTCAGGAGGTTGTAACCCCCGTTCGGCACGCTCGGCACGAGGATAAGTCGCGGGCCGCCGAAATCCAAATAATTGTTTAAATTTCATTATGAATAAACTGGAGTAGCTACTGAGATCGAACATTCACGCCGTAGTACTGGATCGCACAGACTATCAGAACCGAGCGGGTTTGAGTACAGTAGAGGGTAGTATCAGAAGGGTTACAGGCAGGATAATAGAAGGAGCGGACGGACGCGTATGTAGAAGCGGGCGTAAAATACACACGATGTGGATTCAACACTGAAATATAGGAGGGAATGGGGCAGAGGGAAAGAGAACAACGATTGCGAGCGGTCACGAGTTACGCACACGCACCTGCCACACGGTTCCACGCAGGAAAATCAGTACGGTGTTGACTGTGGGACGGCCTGGCGAGCTTACGTGCGGGCATCGCTGCTCAAGCGGCACCGTGGCGAATGACCGACACACGTTCGAGTGCAGGGAGCTTGCGAATACTGTAAAAATAGGGTCAGTGGGCTGGCGCGAGAGTAGCGGACTCGCGTGCGTACGTGGGGGCGAGGACCGTGCCAATAACGAGCAAGTTTTGCAGTTCCCTAGCGAGGATCATGAATAAAGTAACCGCAATATGATACTATACACAACGCACCTGTGCCTATTCTAAGCCCCACAGCCGAGCAAGAGAGCGAACGCGACGACACGCATGAGGCCGCAGGCGGCGTCACTGAGTATTGGCGAAAAGGGGAGGTGGCGTGAGAGAAGTAGTACAGAGTCCTCACAAAAATGTGGGAGTGTAAACGCAGAGCAGATACGAGAAGGGGGCGGACGGCGGGCGTCGAGAGCGAGGGCGTGATGGGGGGAGAACGAAAATGGCAAAGTCGCGAGCCGTGAGTCGCGGCTTGCGCGCTGACGCGTCGTCGGCTTGACTGCTCCGATTGGCTCGCCCGTTCCGAGCCATCCCGAGCCGCACTTCTCGCACCATCCGTCAAGTCAGTTTTTGCCTTCTCCCTTCATCTTCGCCTTCCTCTTCCTCTGCCGCCCGCCGACCGCCACCCGTCTTCTTGCATCCCTCCGTCATCGCTATGCTGCCCATAAGGAAGTAGCCGTCATACCTTGCAGCTCTGGCAGTCCTCGCCCCGTCTCTCCGCCCGCTCCCGCATCCGCGCTCTCGCCTTTTGCGTTGTCTATCGCCCGCTTTCTGGCTCAGGTACTCGTGACTCGAGCTTCATACTGTTACGGACTAGCCCCTTTCACACGCTCTACTGGCTACATACGTGACTGTGA